TTTGTGCCGGAAAATGCCATCGGCGGATGGGAATAGGCTATTTGTAGTATCGGCCGAATCTCTTTCGGGTTAGATTATCTGATCATCCTATCGAGTCCCGTTTATGCATTTGCGCGACGGTTTGGTCGAAGGAGATAAAAGCCACGATGGCTATATCTTGAAACGACTTTTGAGGAGAGAAAAGAATGCTCAATGAAGTCCGATCGCTCGTATTCTAACTCGCAAAAATGGCTCGCCTCTTCAGAGGGAAAGGTTTCATTTGATCTTCTTTTGTGGCGGATTTCAATTGGCAAGCCGTTGTCGCGAGGGACTTCTTTCTTCCGGCGATATCGCGGAGGCAAGATGGACCGAAACGGACGTAAATTAGGTCACTCGTTAAGAAAATAACAAAAAGCTGACGGTTTGACTTGCTCGAACCAATGCATTAGCGGTTGTATCTTTCGTGTATTTCCACAAAAGAATGCAGCTAATGTAGTTATCCAATCGTTTTCTAATCAAGTCACTCGCGACAATTGGCGGCAGGGAATTATAAAGTACGAAATAAAGCTGTAGAAATATAAATGATTATAGGGAGAAAAGTAAAATAACTATCGAAATTAATATGCCAACGATCATTTTTGTCATTCGAGAAATATCTTGCGTCTAAGAAAAGTAATATTTGAAACTATATCAAGTAATATATGTTAATAAAATTAATCATCATTGCACGTAGAAGAATAAATAATCGGAAACTGCGGTTTTATTCAAAGTTGATCGTAAAAAGTGCTGCCAAAGGGTCGTTCGTCACAAAGACGTGGGAATTCTATTTTCGCTGTTCCTTAGAACGCATAGTCGCTAAGAACGAACGACGGAAGCCCCGGTCGACTTTTTCGCGCCAGACCTCAATCCATCGCAATCGAGCTCGTTTATCACTCGAGCGAGAGTTCTACTGACTGCTGGCGAACAATCGGAAAATTTGTCGGGTCATTAGCATCTACGATCGAGTTTCGAACGCGACGGCGATCCAGCCGAGCACCAGCCGTTTTCATCCGCCATGCCGTCTGCTGTCCGCACCATCTGATTAATAACCGAAGTCGAACGTCAATTCATTCCACTTATTTTCCTTCGTGAAAATCATCCACGCTTTCGGGTTATCGATATTCAACGGGAAAACAATTCAACTGTCTCGGATTCTCCTCCGCATTGATGCGATGTGAACGTTTATGCCGATATTATATAAATATTGTCAATTGTTATATCGTAATCTGTGCGTATATATACTGTAGTTTGTGGCATTACGATGACATTTCACGTTTGAGAATGATCAAATGTCATTGAAACAGAACGGCGTTGCTTCTTTTTTCCTTTGCAGCCTGACATTTTACGGTTTAGCTCTGCTTAGCCTTTTTCACACCCCCTTCAATTACGAGATTAGAATCGCGCTTTAAATAAATGATTCGTTTGATACTTGAGACGATAAATGCTACTACTTTCGACGTAATAATTACTGGTCGTGGCTCGACGAGGTACAGCACAGGAAAATAGGATGTTTCTGGGTCGTCTAAGGTCCTGAGAATAAAGGGCGACGGCGACTGCGTTTATCCCGCCTTTTACAGAGTAATTGCAGTCGTAGCGCTAGATAAGACCAGGACGCATTCTCGGTTCTTCCGGGAGGCCGGTAAAAAAGAGCAGAATTAAAGCGAGCTAGGGTCTGCGCGTGGCATTGATTTACAGCGCTGTTATTATACACTGCTATCACATTATCGATATTTAATTTTTACAAAAATTTAACAACATAATTGATAACAAATTCGTCTGTCTGGGATCACTGAACGCGAAGATGCCTTTATCAGTTCGAAAACTTTAGAGACAATGGTAATTGCCGCCTAATTATTTCGAAAAATGTTCTAAGGCTAATTAAAAAAGAAATAGTTACTTTAAATAATGAGATATTTTTATTTCAAATGTTATTCTTGATATCTCTCTTAATTGCGGTTTTCGTTTTACGAATGCCCAGCCATTTTCCGAATTGGATGAAGTTTCACGCAACGGGCAAATGGTTATTCCTCTCGCGAAGACAGAGAAAGCCTCGTGGCTTGATAGCTCGGACCGAATAAACGCGAATTTACAGCTCGCATGTAAGCGCCCTAAATTGGACGATTTATCGGCGTTGGGACCGGGGGCACAAGAAACTCGTTAACGAGGAGCAGCTATTAACGATGGACTTGGCCGCTACAACGAGGCGGGGAAGGATCTCGAGGATCCGGCATACCGGCGATTCGAAACGGCTAGGCTAATATTGCGCACTTTTGCCTTTGCACGTCACGCGAGAATCGTAAACAATATCCCATAATTAATTACTCGGATTACTGCGCTAAGAGGAGTTCAGCGATCGCGCGTAAACTTGCGAAGATGCGCCGGGAAATAATTAATCGCCCATTAGCGTCGCCGAGCGTAATTATTGCTGCCGAGCATCGTGCGAAACGGAACTGCATCCAGCTGTGAGATAACCGATCGCCGTTTCCGCTTATACAACGAGACCCATGCGGGTACCGATGATTTATGGCGAAGATGTCACATTGTGCACCTCCGTTAAATTTGCCACTAACAAGGGGCAATATTCTTTCCTTCGGGATTATTTTTCCGCCGGGAAAAATATGTTTGACAAACGACGAGAAACAATATTGTCCTCTTTTAACGAGACGTTGAAATCGGATTAAAATTATTTCAATAATTCGATATGCTGCTCTCTTTTCCGTCGTTTATACCGTGGTTAAATTTGTACATTCACTGCATAATACACATACGTGTGTCACCTACATAAGAACGATAAATTATCTACAAGTCAACGACACTCTATTGCAGCAGCATATTTTACAGCTAAAGGAAGCGTCGCCGAAAGTTACTTCCGGCGGGCGTTTCGAAAATTTAGTTCACGTTCGAATATCACGCGAGCCATAGGAAAACTTAGACGAGATAAATGTCCGAAAGAGGACGACGGCTCGAGGGTGAAACAGCAGGTGAATCGACATCTTCTCGGATAGAGGCTTTGATGTCTGCCTTCCGGGTGTTTCCGAATGCATCCTACACGCCGTTGAATCGACGAGGGCTTTCCGTTGACGTCTGGTTATTCCGGACAAAGTAATTCGGGCAACACGTATCGGCTAAAACGAACGACGCGAACCGTCACCGCCTATCTCGCCGGTTGAGAGATTCTTCGATACTTGTCGGTCGGATTTAATTAAAACAACGGCGGGCGACCTCGGCCATCCGAGGAGGCGCATCTCAAGGAGACGCACGACGTTGACAGCTTACGAAAACTTAGCTGTAAGCGAGACTTGTAAACTCGGTTTGAAATTTTGAGGCTAGTTGGCGTTGAAATCTTGACACGTCGTTTAACGTACTGCGACGTTGCTGTTAATTGAAATCTTTGTCTCTCCTACGTTCCCGAGAGTAAGTTTAATCGGTGGTAAAATTAGATTATCGGAGAAGAGAGGAGACAGTGTGTTGGCGGATCTCAATCGGAGAGGAGGAAACAAAGGGCAAGCCTTTGTGAGACAAGAGTTTTCTGTGATCTATGTAGAAGTCATACATGTATACCACGTATACACTGAATAATACACACATAGTTACGTATTTCTTTTTGCGATACTACAGTGTACCGACTTCAGTAAATTCTCTCGCGCGAGATGAAATATTCGACCCTTTTCTTCGCCGTAAAAACGCCGTGGAACACGCTACATAAATTTGTTTTTCCTCCAAAGAGCAAATAACTGTAGCTTAGCAAATATGCGGATCGAGGAATGTCGAAAGTCCAAGTTTCGCCGGAAACTCGACGTTCCACGATCTAGATACGGGCTTCGGATATCCGAACACCGTCGGCCAACTAACGAAGAGAGTTATTAGTAAAATATATCTTCTCGACAAATAACATTGCGGAGCGTACCGAGGATCGATGTGGAACGAGAACAACTAATGTGTGCGAAACGTATTTAGAAATGTACAATTAATCTGCAACTAGTCTGAAAGAGTGACTAAACGGAGTCGGTCACTCGAAATATCTAATTTACAATCATCCACGAATGGTAGGCACACGTACAACAATCGTCGTGTTAAAAAATTATGATAATATGACGTTAAATAAGTTCTCGTAATACTTAAAAAATATGTATGATTTATAAAATTCCAAGATCCATCATGAAATGAAAATGCTATTAATTTATTCGAAGAAAGAATCAGTTTGTAATATCAAAAGATCAGAGCGCACAAATGAAGTAGCTGCATGATTTATTAGATCATGTCACGTTATGCCAGTGCAAATTTCGAGCAGCAATAATCTTCATAATTTATAACTACGTTTAATCACGGTTGCCAGCGCCAGCGGACGACGTAATCGAATTAATGGCCGGGAAACGATTCACTGCCGAACTTCAACGCGACGTCGACGTTTATGCGAAACGCAGACAATAATAGCAGGCAACGTAAGTTTGATTGATAGCTTCGGAACTCCCCATTCAGTCGGGACGTTCATCTTGGAAGAATCCCGGCAATGTTGATTGAAGTTATCGAAAAGATATTTTTCCCGAAGAGTGCGCGAACATTTGAGAAAACGTTCCAACTTCGCGAGAGAGTTTCAAAGTGCGTTCTCCGCGAACAATGAGCAAAGTCCTTCGTGCAGATAGAAAAAGTGACAGAAAAAGAGAGGACGTAGAAAAAGTGCCAATGAGAAAAACGCGGGTCGAAGTGAGGTTAAATCGAACAATGATCTCGTTGGAATTAAGTTCTTTAAATTAATTACGTCTTCTTATAGCCGGCGAAAACGCGCGTTTACTTAGTCTCGTATCGCGAACTCCTTCAAGCTCTTTCGATGCGACGATCTCCAATAGTGATTATAGCGAAGTTTCTTTCCTCTTCTCAAAGGTTGAATACAGGTAGATTTCTTTGCAGAAAATCTGTTTTTTAATGAGTATCAGATGCACAATTGTAAATTAAAGTTCAATTATGCGTTCCATTATAAATACCTGACGTCGCGGAAGAGAGATAAGACGTTTGCATCAACTTCGGCGAATACTCACCTGGAAAAGAAGAAAATTTTAACATTAGAAATTTGTCCGAGCTAACGAATTCTATAGACGTAAAAAGATTTTTTACATTAATATAGAAAGATGTCTCCTCGGAAAACTTTTTATTTACGTGACTCCATCGTCGTGCGTAATTTTGTATTCTGTTTCAGCTTTAATTACCAATAGATTTAAGGTGGCGACATTAGGGCCCAAAACTCTTTTAGACGAACTATAATCCGTATTAGAACAAAATAAATTTCTATTTATCATTTTATATATTGTATATATTTTGTATATTTTGACTTTTCAAATAGTTTTTATATTACATGGTAAATAAAATTTACAAATATTATTTATATTCTTACGCAAATTATAAATCGTCTAATACGAGCTCTAAATATTGAAAAATCTGTAGTTGACAATCGTTAAGATCCTTAAAATATATCTAGTACACCGGAAAACACGTGGAAAGAAACTTGGTAGCGCAAGCAAACCCGAAGAGTGTCCTCGAGCATCGCGAGTTGGCACATTGCGAGATAGCTCTGGTACTTTTAGGCTTTGAGTGCAGTCGATGCAGTTGCGAAAGTCTCGGGGAAAAGAAGGGAAGTTTCGATTACGAGAAAAGGTGCCGCGTCAAGCTGCCAGCGCAGCGATTCGGGCATCCTCGAGAATATCAACGTATTGCCTCTTATCAGTGATCTTGGCGAGAACGATCCGCCGCGATAGCAAAGCAAGTCAATAGCTCGAACAATCAATTCGTACAGTTTCCAATCCGCATGACGCTTAATTATACAGCTGAATCGGTTTTATACAAAATTCTATACATAAGATTTATATAAATTATATAATTTATATAAACCCTATATGAAATAATTTGATTAAAATATAAAATATGTAACATGACACAAATATTGGACAAGTGTATTGTTGAAGTTTTTTACCATCGTCTTAATGAAACGATTCAGTAATTGCAAAATCTATTTAAAGTTTCTTAAATTATTTTAGCTATTGCAATAGCGTAATGTCAAATATTAGCCTTTCCATTTTTAAAACATTGATTAAAGATTTATCAAAAATTCTGCGGTTGTAGATTGTGACAATAATAGGATACGTTTTATATTTTACGAGAGAGTAAATAAAGGAATACAAAAATATATGGTACAAAGAAAGAAAACAGTACTTGTGTCAACTACAGAGAAGATCGGAATCCCAGAACACAATAAGAAAGAGACCGACGAAAGGAACCCTCGCAATCGATCGCAGATTGTTTATCTAAGAATAAAGCAGCGCGGTCGCGTTCCAAACTCGTTACTTCTTTGAAGTCGAATTTCCTTTTTCTCTAAAGCATGAAAACGTTACGCAGTGCAGAGAGTACAAACGAGCCGGATGCATCACGCGTGGAGTTTCGTATACTTACTATATATGGAGACACAAAATAGTATTGTCGTCAGAATTTTCAAGTTTCACTTTTTTACATTGTGCGAAATAAAAATGCACATTATACTGACAAGTACAAAAATATTTTTTGATCTATTTAACTTCGAGTTAAAAATGAAAAAAATGCCATATACCGTAAGAATCTATTAGTCTGCCTGGTCGACTGTTTGCGATTTAGCGAGTACTCGAAAGAAAGTGTAACAAGATGTAAAGTTAATTAAAAACTCTGTCGAGTTATCGATGTCTTACGAGGTCTCTGAATTTTTTTATTCGCGTGAAAGAATTGATGTATATATCTTCAGATTATATTATAAAAATATTTTGACCGTCTTCAATTCACGAATGTTACAATCTGATTCTTAAAGAATACAATACAGAAGTCCTGATTGTATGTTGCTTTCACCTCTCAAAACTTCAAATTCTAAATGATATATTTACATGACGTGTAAATAAGGTGACAGCACGTGAATGGGCTGCCGTCGTTAATGCTTTCTCTGTGATCACATGGTCTTTGCTTTCGACTGACAATAAGTTATCTAATAGCGAATTCGGTCGCTTGCACTAATGTACACTAGTGTACACTGAGTGCAAACTTTCCCAGTGCAACGTATTCGATCGATGCCTTCTGTTTCAGTGCATTGCACTCGTCGTATTCGGTTATATTGCACTATTACAGTACAAACCTTATATCATATTCGATGAGTGTTACACTAACCTAGTGTAGCACTGACTTTGTATTCGGATACGCAAAATAAACTGAAGGAGTGCAAAGTTTATTACACTGTCAATTTTTGCAGTGCAGTTACTATTAGCGCGGTAAAATTATGGATCCTAGCCGCGGACTTTTATTTCTTATAGCGAATTCGATTGCTTGCACTGGTGCGCACTGAGTGCACACTGAGGTTTGTTTACAGTCAATTCTTATATTTCCGAAGCGTCTTAAATATTCTTGAAATATTTCGTAGCCAGTAAAACGATCTGTAGCATCGATACGGATTGTTTTCTGGCTAAATCGCTTTGAACGTGCATTTAAGACAAAGTTAAGTATAAAAATTGACTGTAAACTGGCCTTGGCGTGCACTCGGTACGCACTAGTGCAAGCAACCGAATTCGCTATTAATGAAATTTTAGGTTAGCATTGATCGGACCTAGTGTTGCACTCGCACAAGACAAGTTTAGTGCAAAGCGAGTTCAGTGTGTAATTGCATCGAGTTGGTGTTGCACTGAGAAAGGTTAATACCGATCGGACCTAGTGCTGCGCTTGTACAGTTCAGTGCAAAACGAGTTCAGTGTCAGTGCAAATCGGCCGAATTCACTATAAGATCTTCCAGTTCACCTTCGTCGTCGAGATACTCCCTGCAACTTCATGAACTCGATTTCTCAAAGAGCCACGATCAACAACTCCCACAATCCCCAAGAGTATTTCTCGAACGTGAAGATCGCATCGAACTTCCGCTATTCCGCACCGAGCGCTCGCAGGGGATTATCACTGAACATTTTGATACACTCTTTCTACGAATAACTCCATTCTTAAAAGGTTCTATCAGTCGTTAATTCTTCATGTCCCCAAAACTATTCACGATTAAAAATGATAGGAATTTCACGTTTCAATCCCTCTTAATCAAGAGACACGGTAGTGTCTCGCGCCAAGCGTAAGCGTAGCTAGTACACGCATGCGAGGCCGACCGTGTAAGTTTTATAATATACAGGGTGTACTAAAATCACCGGATATCCTTTTAATCAGAAATTCTTTAGAAACTTTCAAGACAAAAATTCTAATACAAAAATGTCGAGGCTATAATAGTTTTTAAATAATAAGCAATTACATTTCACAAATGACAGGCCTGAGATTTCGCGCGCTCAGGTACGGCGACACGACAAGTGATAAAGGTGTTCCTACGAATATCGCCCTTTTTAGCATAGTGACAACTTTCACAACAGACTTAACGATTCATTCTCGAATTAATTGTTCCTCTTGTTATCTTTAACCATTTCTTTTGTTAACTTTGTGTAACGTCTTATTAATAAAAGGGAGGGGTTCACTGTGATGAGCATCTTGATCAGACTGATATCCTTCGATTTAGTCGATCTCCGATATTCTGAGTGAACTTGGAATTTTCAGTTAGATTCAATCTAGTCTCCTGCCTCTCTTTATCCTCAAGTTTTCAAAATAACCGGATCATCGTCTTCCCAAATATTTTCTGTCCCGTTAAACGGTGACTTTGGTTCTCGCTCGCTCGCGAAACACATAGGAACACTTTTATCACTCGTCATGTCGCCGTGCCTGAGCGCGCGAAATCTCAGACCTGTCATTTGTGAAATATAAATCGCTTATTATTTAAAAACTATCATAGCCTCGACATTTTTTTATTAGAATTTTCCTCTTGAAATTTTCTAAGGAATCTACGATTAAAAGGATACCGGTTTAGTACACCCTGTATACATTGATATATAAATATAATATTAGCAATATAATATTTAATTATTATTTATTTTTAACTAAGTAACTATTACATGATTTTGATGGAGTTACAAAAATAAATTTCATTTTAATATTAATTTAGTTTCCGTTTAAAGGTATCTTGAATCGACATATAACGAGATACTAGCGTCCCGATGTAGCTATAGAAATATATTTCACAGCGCATCTTCGTATATCCTTAAGAGCTGCACAGAACGCAGATTATCGTAGCTCGTCATTAGTCATTTTCTAATTATTAATTCCCACCCCAATCTGCTTTTTCCATATCTTCCATGAGAGATATTGTTTTCAAATTAGTGGAATGGTATATCTTATTAGGAGCAAAAAAAAACAAGTCAGAGATTACGAATCAGTCTTATATTTTTACTGCCGTACGAGTTACATGATTGAAGTGGTCTCGACATGCGAGAAGCACGCGACACGCGAATATCTTACAATCCCGCGGGATAGGCCGACGGATCTGGTCGCGGCTGTCCGTGAAAAATTCAATGTGCATGCGAGCAACAGGGGAAGGTACCTTCGTCGCCAGAAGTTGAGGAGTTGTCCTCGGGTTCGGGCGACGACCCTGGGGATCGTCGGCCGACTCTCGAGTCCGGTCTGCCGCATTCGCTGCCGGCACTTCCTCCGCTTCTACCTCCTCCTCCTCGGTGGTCCTCGCGTTGACGTGCTGTCCCTTTCTCGGGGGACACCGATCGGGACTCCCTGGACTCGGCGGCACCGTACGTGCCGCCACGTCGTCCTTCTCTTGCCTCGAGTCCAGGCAATCGCTTGCTGAAGTCAGTGGGCATCGCCGGTCGCTTTCTGGGAGTACGTTTACGTTTACGTCACGGTTTACGTACCAGAGATGAATTATTTCTAATTTTCTTTCTGGCATAAGACTCGGCATTGCAAGAGACGAATGAGTTTGATTCGAGAAATCGTATCGAGACGATTACATCGCGATAACTCGTTGAAGTGAGTTTAATTAATAAAATCATTTATTAATTATTTATCAAAATCATACAATTATTTATTTATCGTATGATGTAATTTTTCTCAACTGCTGTCTTTCATTACATCATGTAATAATACATTAAAATAAATATAAGTTCTG